TAAGTGGGATGAGCCACCAAGTATGAAGTAACATGAAGTAACTATTTAAACTGTGACTGACGTACCTCATGCACCCATGTTAAGAAACACGGAAAAACATGTACATTGAATTTACACCTCTTCGAACCCATGTCCCTGCACCGCGGCCACTCTGAAATAGCTGCCTGACATGGGATCCTGTTGAGTTTGATGCTCCACTTCGTCCGCTTTGCATTTAGATATCCAGAACACAATCACGCCACACGACCTGGCAGCTGCAGTCACCCGACCATGATAGAACGCATCAGTTGACGTCCCGCTGCATGCAGATTGCACCTGATCCAACTGATCCAACCGAGAGATATTTTCGAAAAGAGGCATCATCTCTGGCGGCGCGCGTGGCATCTGAAGTTCAAATACCGAGGGGGAACTCCACCCTGCTCTCAGGCTTGAATGGCCACCTCTGGTGCTGGCCTGGACTGAAAAATCCTTGTACTTCCACATTCAGACATTCAATTCTAATCAGATCACAAATCACAAATATCATATTGTATCACCATCATAGTTGCTTAACATACTTTATCATACTTTCTTTGATACATGTTACCCTTTCCATCTATGGTTAGGGGTTGTTATAAGTTATGTATTCATGATTTTGTAATTATAGTCCATTTAATATTATACTATACCACCCTCGTAGTTGGTTATAATATGATATACCCAAAGATGTTCATCACATATGTGTCCAACATATCGCCTATGATCGGGGATTGTTATAATCAAACATGGAAATGCAGTTGTTCAACATTTATAGCTGATTTACCTACGGAACATGGCGATGTCTCCTGGCAAATTGTTGAACTAATAGACTATCAAATGGTATAGGGAAATTCTTAGTAGCTCATAGGCTCCTCATTGACTCATTGACTAAGGAATATGGATACCCATACCTCCTCATCACCGATAGTAACTTTTTGAAACTCGACTTGCTTGTTTCAATCATTTTAAATCATCCAAACCAATAATCATATCATATATATACATATATAAATACATTGGAATATATTGGATAGATTTTGGATAGTACAGTCCTCTTTCCCTATCAACATGCCATCAAACCTTGCCAAAGCCATCACTTCACCACACCTTGCCCAGCAAGCCATGGAGTTCCAATGCCTCGGACGGAGCTGGGTCAGGGCGGTCAGGGGTCCCCCCGAGGTCCACATGAGTCACTGGTCCTGTTAAAGTCAGGAAGACATTACATGATGAAACATATATTGAAATTAGTTATAACATATTAGAATATACATTAAATCCATGTCAAACTCAGAAATTAGTTATATCATGTTATACCACAATTGTTGAAACGTAAACAATGAACTTGATCAAATGGTTTTGCAATTGCAACTGCGCATGACTTGAATTTAACCTAAAGAAAACATTTTAAAAACATTTGGGATTTATCCAAGAAGCATGAAGATGTAACCAGGAATCTGCACGAAATAACAGCATCAAATTCGCATAAAACCATCCGCACTGTCGTAAAACGGAGCATGAACCTCATGTTTTGGGTGGGACACATATTCTGGTTGGTGGTTTCAACACCTCTGAAAAATATGAGTTCGTCAGTTTGGATGATTATGCCCAATATATGGAAAAATCAAAGTCATTCCAAACCACCAACCAGATCACCATGATATTCCCATTGTTGTTGGTTTATAGCCTATGAAAACCACTATTAACCACTATTAATCACTATTAACCATCATTATTAACCATGTCATGAATAAACAAAGCCAGCTACATCGGTTCAGGACCCGGCTGTGTGCAAACGCGTTCGCTTCTGTGTCGGGGAGATGTCGCCACCTAATGACAGAAGCGCTGCTGGGGTTAACGAACAGATAATGGCTGGGTAAACCATCTATAAATGGTTAATCTATGGGTAATCTATGGATGATCTATGGTTAATGGTTAATGAATGGTTAATAGCTACCCGACCTGGTAAACATACAAAAAGCTATTGAAAATGGCTATTTATAGTTAATTTACCCATTAAAAATGGTGATTTTCCATAGTTATGTTAGTTTACCAGAGGGTATCCTTGACTAAATCCTTGCCTGTGTATTTCATCGCGGGCATAGAAAATACGGGAAACTTGATGACTCCCGGCCGCTGGCCAATAACCCGATCGGAATCTTCAGACCTTTCAAGAAGTGCCATAGATTGAATCGCGTAATGCCTGAAAGGTCTGAAGCGTTGAGCCTCCGAGCCCCAATCCATATGCTGTGAATCAGCACAAACATCAGATCTATTTGTGGATATATTTCTTTGCATGTAGTGGGTTTACAGAAGCTCTTCTCTTCTCACACTCGATTTGAGGCATACCGGCATACAAATACAGTACCCAATTTCTGTTCAACTTCATGGCAAAAAAAAATTATGTTTCAAACCATGGCGATGGTTTTTTGTCCAAATCTTTCATGTAGCAAGTATATAACTCTAGTTAATGCTGGTTGGTGGTTTCAACCCCTCTGAAAAAAAAATCGTCAGTTGGGATGAATATTCCCAATATATGGAAAAATAATCCAGTCATGTTCCAAACCACGAACCAGTAATCGATTTACAAGCCATTCTAAACAAATAAAAACCATTATAACCATCATAGCCCATCCGAACCGCGTCTCTTCCTCTGGGTGGCCGCAACTTTTATGCGGCGACATCCCCAAGCCTGGGAGCAACCAGTGACTGGTTGACATTGGTTGACCAGTTTCGACGTATCGCACGAAAATATGGCCATAGACAAAGAGCAAGAATAATATGGGGCTACAACACTGACACCAAAGTACATAACAAATTCTGGTTGGTGGTATACCTACCCCTCCGAAAAATATGAGTGAGTAACAGTTGGGATTTCTGTATTATTCCCAATATTTATTGAAAAATAAATGTCATGTTCCAAACTACCAACCAGAAATTTGAACATGAGAATGGGGACATTGCCGCTGGTTGAACATCCCCATCCTATAGGTTGATACAACCGGTGCTACCCTTCACCCAAAAGGATGGAGAACATAAAACCGCAGTACAGTAGCGGTAAACAACTTTTCTATCCGGTTGTCGTTGGGGTTACTAGAATCAAATCATGCGGTGAATTAGAATGAATTAGAATTCGAGAGATTTACGTACATTGACTAACTATCATTCCAGTGACGTCGCGTAATTCATTCCAGATCTTCCAGAAAACCATGTGGCTGTCTCTGACAATAGGGTATGCCCACAAAATGGCATTTATTTCATTGGGGAGATGATAATAACTTCATAAACCCGTTGGCTACAGGGCAGGTTTTCCC